AGTGTACAATTTAATGGCTTCTTCATCGTCCAGTTTGGAAAGTCCTCAGGTGAGGGCACACGAAGTGCTCAAAGTAGCCAACCCTTTGGCTTTTATGTCTGTTGACTCGCTCGAGCAGGTGCTTCGTGGTGTCTCAGAACGTCTTTATTAACTATTATCTGAGAGACCTCCTAGCTGGAGGAGGGTCCCTACAGCTTGGGACCAGTGGTGACGAGTCAGACAGTGTTTGTGGACCCATCCCACAGCACCAAGGAGCTGGCGCTGCTGGCTTCAATCTGCACTATCGAACCCAACTGATACACTGTTTTAATACATTAAAATTATTTGGGCCCTATTTTATTGTTCAGACGGCCGGCTTCTGTAAGCCTCCCTAAATTGGGGGGGGGGGTCTACTCTAGAGGCACTCGGTCCCTGGAGAGTCACCTGATTGGTTGTATTCTAGGACAAACTCTCTATTTGGGAGTAGTTTTAGATTTTTCTTAGTTTGTTGAACATTTCTGCCTTTTTGTGTTGAAAAATGTGCATTTCAGCTGTCAAAGCTTCCCTACTTCCGGTGAGCCTGCTACTCTACTTGACAAGTAATGAATGAAATTTATTATTTCCACAGATTTTCTGGTAGTGATGTGGTAGGTGATGATTAGGTAAACAAACGGGTTTGTACAACCCTATTAGGTGCAAAAAATGACCAACTTGTTTACAATAGCGACAATCAGATAAATTCTAAAAGTAGTCCGGTACCATATCACACACATGTACTGATTATGAAATGCATATCACCACAGTGTTACGTAATAATGACAATGAGTTTACATATGCGTCATATGTATATGATATAATACAGGTACATACCTATATACATCGAATTTAGTATCTGCCTTTCTGTTGATATCCATAAAACATTCAGGTGGGATGTGAGTCGTTGTACCAACTGTTACTGATTCCGATGACGCTCTGCAATTTTCAGAGACCATTCTTGAATATTCATGCCATTCTGATAATCCGAAGTCTGAAACCTAAGAATTAAAGTCGGAGGTAATTAACAGTAAAATTATAATATAGCATCATGATTGTGATGAAGTTTATAAAGACAAAAAGTCACAAACAGTAATGCTAAAATTATGATTTACCTTCGCTGTAGGTCCTTTTCCAACAAGTATGTTGCCAATCTTTACATCTCTGTGTACGATTTTTGCAGTTACATGTAAATAATGTATTCCTAGAATGACGTGGCGCACCAGTTCCTCAATTGTTGACCAGTTAACATCATATTTAAGTTGGTATTCCCTCAATGTGCCATAACACATGTATTCTAATACAAGTGAGTAGTTGCATGGATGCATCACTACACCATACAGTAAGACCACATATGGAGAACGGATTTGAGTCAGTTTCTGTGCCTCGTCTTCTAGTATTTGTCTGTCTCTGGGTATTAAAGAAACCAATGTGTTAGGAAATATAATTTTGTAATAATGAAAATTAGACTATCGTACTGAATCTAAGCGAAATGCTTATAATATACAACTTAGAACTCAAACTCCTCTTTTTGTAAAAGTTGCACATATAAATACTCAACTCCTTTCAATTTGATTTGGTATCATTTCTATAATTACCGTATGGAAATTTCGAGATCTTTAAAAATCCGCTTAACAGCTACATCGCCAAAGATTTTGTGAGATGCTTTATAAACAACTCCAAAGCCGCCACTCCCAATACATACTTCCTCTGAAATTTCAGCATGGTCTATTATATGACCAGTGTAAGGATACGCTGCAGCCATGATTCAAATGAACTACAAAAGATATAATCAGGTGGTCAGAATTGTGTGCAAATAATGAAGAGGAATAATTAAATGTATCATTTTATGTATTGAGTTTAATAAACGAACTATTAATATATCGTTGCCACATGGCGCGTGTATTTCTGGACATTGGTATATTCAATTGTCAAAATTATTGACGTTGAATAAATGATTTCTGTTTTCAGTCATTATGCAATTATGTTAAATCAGGATTTGATCTGATTACATGGTACAAATTCTTACTTTACGGATTGTGTTTGAAACATGCAATATGATATTTATGTTTAGTGTTACCACTTCTTTTGGGAAAAGCGGCTGTATTTTGGATTTTGTTTTTTTATAAGTGTTTGCGGTAAACCTGGTAAACCCCAAGGGTCCCATCGAAATGTGCATAAACTGCATAGTGACACGCACATATCGACTGACATAATTTGGGGGTGGCAACAATATATTATCTAATGATTTGTGAGTTGCCCACTAAAGACGTAAAACCAGTAGTCAGACCAGGCAATGTTTTACACTTACAAGTGAACAGCCAAACACAAATGCATGTCCGATTTGAGCGTAAACTTCCCCTAAATAATGTCGGCCCCTTCTCATTATTATGTGTAATCGAATGCCAATACGACGCACACGTATTTAAAATACTTCAACCCACCCCAAACTATAATGATAATACAACGATATCACAACACAGTGGAAACAGTGGCTGGAATACACCCACTGACTTGGCTATACACTGGAGTATAGTTTCACAGCAACGTCCGGCTACAATACAATGACACTGTGTTATTTAGTATCTAGTTACTAGTATTTCTTAACGTTTAGTACAATGCATATACGAGGTATTATTTATAGGTTAGATGAATAATTGCAGCATGGTCTGGGTTACATATTTTATTATACATTTACGAGCAGCAACCTCTTCGAGAAATGGAGTTATTACTTAATTATCCTAGTTGGATTATTGAATCCCGATAGTAGCCACACTGTCAGTTCTAAATAATACTTACAATGACGCATCCTGTAGGTCAAGTTAAAAACTAATTTCTTGTAAAACATGTCTTTCAATTTTTATGCCGAATATTGTTGAGCTTCCATCTCGAATAAGTTTGGAGCATACCGTGGTGAAAGTACATGTAGGTATATAGTCCACATACCGCCATAAATGGAGTTCAGTAAAGCTGAGAACATGTCTTTGGAAAACATCTATCGATATGTAGGGATATGAATAGGGCTGTGTGTGTCGACACACTTTTAGAGTTTATTACGTGGCGACACAATTTCGGGTCTGTATGTGGTGACAGATGTCGAGTGACATGTATTTAGCGACACACCTCTAGGGCTGTGGTTACCGACACACGTTTAGGGCTGTAATCGGTGATACATTTATACTTCTAGGGCTGTGTGTGAAGACACACCCAGTGCTGTGAACAGCGACACACTTTTTGGCTTATGTGTGGCGACACGCTTTTAGGGCTGTAAGTGGCCTTTCAGAGCTGTGTGTCGTGACACAATTCCAGTGCTGTATGTGGCAACACACTTTAGGACTGTATGTGGTTGCGCTTAGGGGAATGTACGTGGCAACACAGTTTGAGGACTGTATGTGGTGACAAACTGTCATAAAATTGTGTCGCCACATACTTAGGGCTGCATGTGAAAACTCTTAGTTTTCTGTGGTGACAAATTTCTAGAGTTGAATGTGCGAACATACCTTAGTGGTCTCTGTGTGGACAAACTTCTTGGACTGTATGTAGCGACACACTTGTAGGGATATATGTATATGTGTTATTTAATTACAGTGGTATTAGAGGGCAGTTAGTGGGAAAAGTGACGGAAGTGCTATGGCAACATGCGGATGTATATGAATATGTGGAGAACCAGTGCAGTCGAACATAAAATTGATAATCGAAACAATGCCGATTTGGCTAAGAACAGAGGCAGATTAAAAAAATAGATAATATTACCCTCGCAAAGGCCCAAAGTAATTCCCATGACAAAAGAAAGGTTCGATTTTGTGTAGACTATAATCTAATTTAGTCCTTGGTAAAGGTGCGTATGGAGGAGGGTTATAAAACGGGAGTCCTTGGGAAAAATATCACATTTGTCAGTCGCCATTAAAACGTACTGACAAGTGTGCTAATTGGGAGGGATTACTAATGTTGAATGTTTTACTATCAGCAACAGGAGCCAGAGTATGAGAAGTGGATTTGTGTTAATGTTGTCCAAACATTGTCAAGAAATGGTAAATCTTAGTCTACATAATTACACTACGGCTGAACAACGTGGAATGGTAATGACTAGCGAGAGAATAAAAAGGCGATATTTTTAATGGGGAGTTCATTAAATCATGGTGTAGATAGCGTATAGAATATGTGCAGATAAATGCACCGCTGGAATGGTACAAAACATTCATTAGAAGGGCCATGGAACCATCTGAAACCTCTGTCAATAATAAACTAACGGTGCGAAGCGGTGAATAGTTTTGACGGAGACAACTATTCGTGAACCCGGAAGTGCGTGAAGAACGAAAAGTTACCCCAGTACTATAAATTGCTGTGGAAGTCAGAGTTAGTTCCCCGAAATGCGTGCAAAACAAAGAAAAAGAAATCTTGAACTTACTGAAAAACCAAGCCAAGACAAGATTTGGTGGAGAAAGAAACCTCCAGGAAACTAGAACGTCGAAGACACCAACCAAGAAACTACCATATCTTCACGATGAGTGTAAATGCCAGGGGGTACTCCCAATATAGTTAAGGTATACAGGTATGCACCTCAGTTGTAATGTTTCGAGGTTGACCCAATACTTTTTTACCCCTTCCCAATTTAAGATTTTCTGCCATTTTATACAAAATATTTTGGCGAAAAAACACCAGTTTTGGGGCTAAAAGCGCTCTCAGCGTTGATCATTTTGGGTCCAGTTTTCAACTTGCTGGGGAGTATTGCCACCCAAAATCAAAGTGAGTACCCCCGGGTTGTAAATAGCGCAATTGTATGGGAAAATCAAAATGGCTGCAGTGACGTCACGGAAGCGTACGTGAAATAGAGGGCTCCTTATTGTCCAGAGATTTGAATATGCCAATTGAATTACGATCTCTGCTTATTGTTCTATGGTCAAAATGGTCCACGTTGTACTATAAACCTGGTATCCTGGTACTATAAACTGCTATGGGGGTCAAAGGGATTTCCCCGGAATGCGTGCAAAACCAAGACACCGGGGGACTTAACGAAAAGCCAACACAATCTTCGGTGGAGAATGAAACCTTCAGAAAACTAAAACGTCTCTGTTTACCTCCATGAAGAAACCAACCAAGAAATCACCAGGGAGGTATCTTCACGATGAGTGTAGATCGGGGGAGGGGTACTCAAATACTAGTAGTTAAGGTATACGGGAATGCGCCGCAGTCTTGACCTCTATTTTTATGATCGGACAATCATTTTGACCCCCCAGTTTCAATATTTTCGGTCATTTTAATAACATTTAGGCAACGACTGGAAGCACTGCCATCCCAATTAAAAGTGAGTATCCCCGGGTTGTAAATAGCGACATCGTATCGGCAAATCAAAATGGCGGCAGTGACGTCATATGAAGATAGGTAAAATAGAAGGTGCTTTATTGTCTCGATCTCTGATTATTGTTTATGTAGTCAAAATGGTCCACGTTGTGTCTGGATATGTGATTTATTGCCAAACCTTTTATTAACTAATTTTGGAAATAATTTCAGACAACTTTGTCTTTTTATTATGTATATAGTGCACCGAATAGCTACTGTCGTACTGACCGACGGTTCACTAGAATAACCTGGATTCCAGTCTCAATGGAGGAAACAGCGAGGACGTGCTTGGTTATACTTCAGTATTTCGTTAAAAAGAGGGACACAGAAAACAAGAACTAGACGACGCATTAGCGTAAATACACGTCTCTAGAAATTGTGTTAATTTTAATTGTATATGTGCTGTTTGGCATTATGGTAATATCTGCGTTACGTTGCGGTATTGTACTACTTGCTATTGCTATTTAAAGAATACACGTAAACAAATGTGCATATGTGCTTTATGACCAGTGTGTGCTGGGAGATTAGTCAGAATGAATTATGGCTTTGCTAAGATTAAAAATAATGTGATATGAACGTGTAAATTAGTTTTGTTCCATCATTCTACTTTCTTTCATGTTTCAACCAAGGTATAATATTGCTGGTGCATTGCTCATAATGTATGCAACATTGGCATCGCCATTACATGAATTAAAAGTCTTGTTTTCATATACAATTTTAGTGAAGAGTGCCTTCCTGGCAGTTAATAATGTAGTGTTATTCATCCTCAATTGTATTTATATCACATTTAGCACATATTATCATCAAACGTCTACCTATTTCTATCATTAGATTGTGGTCACATATTTTTATGCACTTCCTATATGGTTTTGACATTAACATTAATTAAGTAGTTATACGTCCGAAATTTTGGATATTGCCCTGCCCGTTTATCTAATTCAATTTCGCTTTCCAGCTGTTTTACATAATAAAGCAATCCAGTAGCTTAATATTCTATTTATTGTTTTGCTCACAATGAATGTGCATCTATGTTTTACTGCGCCGTGACCTAGACTATGTTCTTTTTTTGTACACACTGTATACCAATACTTTGTAACACGATTTTTAATAAAGACGGAATGTGGCTGTCTTCCCAATTCCCCTCTCTTAATGATATACTTGTTGCTGATTGATTTACCTGAAGAAACAAGTCTGAGAACTTCAAATTTATTTTTTTAAATACATCATAAGCAAATCAACACAGTCAAGACACTGTTCCCTTTAAGTGCTCTTTAGACAAAACTTCGGATGATTATCTTGGAATTGCGAACAGCGTGAATGGATTATGTAAAAGATCTACCGAACACTATAACATGTATTGATTATCATGGAGGTTTGTACAGCAGATCTGTCGATCTCGATGGATTAGCGTGTGGAAATGATTTA